ATTAAGAAGAGTGGAAAGCGGGGAGAAGTTATAATGAAGATATAGAAGGGTAAATAAGATAGGTAATGGCATATAAGTTGAACATGAATTTAATTGAAGTCCATAGAAAGAGAGGTAATCCGGGGCCAAGCTACTTTTTAAAAAGAAGTTTTATGTTTTTGTGTTTTGTGTGTGTATGTCCGTTTGAGATTTAATAAAACCTTGGAGGAAAGCGAGAGGAGAATAATTATAAACAAGACAGAGGGAAATATGAATATGATGATTATAAAATGGATAAATATAGAAGAAATGTAATTGAATAAGAGCAAAGAGAAATAATGAGAAATCTGCTAAAAGATATTTAAGTGGAAATGGGAAATATCAGAACTATATTGTATTAAACAATGTTTTATCTGCCTTGTAAAAATTTATAATGGAAAGAGGTTTAATGTCTTTAATGTCTAATGATGCTTTGTTTGTCTTTAAAAATTAATAAAATTTGTTTCAAAAAAAAAAAAACAACGTCCAGTGTTGGAACATTTACAACTTCTGGAGGCAAGTTGTTCCACTGACTAATTGTTCTAACTGTCAGGAAATTTCTCCTTAGTTCTAAGTTGCTTCTCTCCTTGATCAGTTTCCTCCCATTGCTTCTTGTCCTGCCTTCAGGTGCTTTGGAGAATAGCTTGACTCCCTCTTCTTTGTGGCAACCCCTGAGTTATTGGAACAATGCTATGTCACCCCTAGTTCTTCTTTTCATTGAACTAGACATACCCAATTCCAATAACTATTCTTCATGTTTTAGCCTCCAACACCCTAATCATCTTTGTTGCTTTTCTCTGCACTTTTTCTAGAGTCTGAACATTTGTTTTTACATTGTGGCAACCAAAGCTGGATGCAGTATTCCAAGTGTGGCCTTACTAAGGTATTATAAAGTGGCATTAACACTTCGTGTGATCTTGATCTATCCCTCTGTCAATGCAGCCTAAGACTGTGTTGGCTTTTTTGGCAGTTGTACCACACTGCTGGCTCATATTTAACTGATATGAAAACTTCATGTGGCTTTAGTGATTTATCAGCTCAAGGAAGGAGAAGGTCATTTGCCATTTTTAGAAGTAGGCAGCCTGTTTCTAACCATAAGTTGTCCACAAGTTGGTCAACTCATACTTAGAGGGACTTTTAAGGGAAGCCTACATCCAGGGACTCCCTCTATCTTGCTGCCAAGAAATTGGTCAGTCATATACATCAGTGCAACATGTTACATATTAAAAACTGATGAAAACTGCTTCTTTGTTATCCCTAACACACGAAAACTGCTTCTAAAAAATAGAAACGTGCACGTACCTGGGTAGTGATATGGCATGCGCTCGTTCATTAATGCGGTGTAACGGGTATAGGGGCTCACCAATGGCAGTGTTACAGCTGAAATAATGAAAACAAAGATGCATGCCAGAAATACATTTATATATAAATGTGTATAATCTCCCTCTCCCTCACATGCTAGCTATCCAGCAATGTACAAAGCTATCATAAATGAATGAATAAATTTACTCAGAATGATTTACCACGGGAGCTACAGACCCCTCTAGCAAGCTAAATTTGATCACTGGTCACAGAAACAATCCACAAACTAAGTCTCCCTAAGCATAATTCTTTGAAACAGTGGGCCAATCTTATAGTCCCAGATTCAGATATTTGCCAACATTCTCTAGAACAGGGCTCTCCAATCTTGGCAACTTTAAGACTTTAAGCAAAGCTGGCTGAGGAACTCTGGGAGTTGAAGTTCACAAGTCTTAAAAGTTGCCAAGGTTGGAGACCCCTGCTCTAGAATGACTCCTAGTGGGTTTCCAAGAATTTCCCAAACTGAAAATGTCTGGAATTGAATCTGATTTTCTTCACACTAAGAAGTGCTTGTAGCCGAGCCCTAGTCTGTTCCCCATTCAAAGTCAACCTTGAGCAAGAAATACCAGAGATTTGGAAAGGGGCCAAGATTGGAAATATGAGGAATGTAATCTAGAACAGAGTTCCCCAACTTTTCCAGGTTGGCAGCCCAGAGGGGGGGAACGGGATGGTTTTGTGGGAGGGGCAGGTGCATGCATGTGTGCGAACACCTACTACTCACATGAGTGGGGCTGTAAGCACCCATCAGTAGCAGATTAAGGCTCACTGGTGCCCTAAGCACTGACAAATCTTGGTGCCTCCCTGTCTTTGTGCACACTGTACCAACGAAGCCATATTCTCAACTTTGTGGTGCCCCCTTTGGGCCTGGTGCCCTAAGCACGTGCTTAGTCTGCTTAATGGTTAATACGCCACTGGTGCCCATGACAATGCTTGCGCGAGTGGGGCTGCAAGCATGTGTGAAGCCCATGGCAATGTTCATGCGAATGGGCTGTGAGTGCCTATGTGAGCAGGGCCATTAGCACCTGTGCAAGTGGGACCTAAGTGCCTGTGGCAATGATCGCACAAGTGGAGCTGTGTATGGCCAGCTACGTACACTGCCTGGTGGCCCATAGGCTATGGACCAGTAATGGCCTGTGGCCCACAGGTTGGAGAACTGTGATCTAGAAATCTTAAAGGCAACATAATTTTTAAAGCTAATCCTGATTCTGCTTAATGCCCTAATGTTAGGGCTGCCACAACTCTTCTCCTCTTAGTATTTCAAGGACACTAAAAGTTGAAAGAATAAAATATCTATGGAGATTCTCTTATTATCTAGGTCAGGGGTGTCAAACCAAATTGCATCGCGAGCTGTGTCATGACGTATCGGGATGCTTTTTGCCTTTTTGGGCTGGGATGGGCGTGGCTTCTGCGGGCCGTATTCAGCCTGTGGGCTATCAGCTTGACAGGCCTGATATAGGTCATGGTTGTTCCAAAGGTGCTTTTCCAAAAGGCAACTGGACTTTCTTGGTTTTTTTCCTTAAAAATGTTTTACCTCATCCAAGAAGTTGAAGAAGCTAAGCTTGGATGAGAAGTGAAACATTTTCAAAGAAAAAAAAACCCAAGAAAGTCTAGTTGCCTTTTGGAAAAGCACCTTTGGGGTTTAAGAATAAAACATATTTGGATTTCAGGGAACATCCGTGTACACTCACCCACAATTGCAATGACTACGGAGCTTACGATCACTGGCTCCTTGCCCCATGCAGTTTTTATATATGTTACCATTCCTGCAGAAAGATGAAGAAGTGTTTTTTGATACACAGATCCGTTTTCCACAGTAGCACCTGGAACTGTTTACTCAGACTGATCTGGGGTAGCAATCCAAAGAGCCTTCCCAACTTTCAATTCATAATTAAGATAATCTGTTCACCTGCTAAGACACTTGAAAACTTGATCAGGAGGAATCTGAATAGCACCTTTTTCAATAATATATCATTAAAAAGGTATAATATGATGTCTTTTAAAAAAACGTTAATTAGAGTGCTACCAGACTGTTTTTTAATTTATTTTTTGCTAATTTGACTACATAACTCTTCTACGATGTTTATTAATTTGAATAAATTTAGTTCCTCATAGCCACTGTTCTGCCTGTAAAATCAGGTACACGTTAGAATGTATTAAAACTAAATCTTTGCAGCCTTCTGAAATCAAATGGACATTAATTAGGGACATGATGTTCTCCATCCTTTTAAAACAGCCAGCCTGTGGTTAACAAGTGTCTGGAAAACTTTGTTTTATTACACAGGCTTTTGTTAGATTTTGCTATTTTTCTAGTCTTTACTTTTTTTTTTACAGGCAGTTTGCTTTTGGTTTGGACCTGTTCTGATACTGTGAATATTGTTAATGGAAACTGACATCTAAGTATTCTAAACATATGAAAGTATAGGTAGTCCTCAACTTACAACCATAATTGAGGCCACAATTTCTGTTGCTAAATGAGACAGTTGTTAAGTGAGTTTTGCTCCATTTTATGACCTTTATTGCCATACTTGTTAAGTGAATCACTGTAATTGCTATGTTAATAACATGGTTGTTAAGTGAATCTGACTTCCCCATTTACTTTGCTTGTCAGAAGGTCAAGAGATGATCACATGATCCCAGGACACTACAATCGTCAAAAATATGAGTCATGCATCTGAATTGTTATCATGGGACCATAGGAATGCTACAATGGTTGTAAGTGTGAAAAATGGTCGTAACTCACTTTTTCAGTATCCTTGTAACTGAACTGCCACTAAATAAATTATTGTATATCAAGGACTATGTAAATGTACACCACTGTGTTGTCCTTAATTTTAAAAATAGCTTTCATAGGGAAGCATTTTTAAATTAGTGTATCTATAGCTGCAAATTTTGGGAAGGATTTGATAGAAATAACAGACTGGCATGAAATGTGTAAGGAATAGGAAAGAGAGAGACTTAATGAGTTCTGGTGGGTTGGATTTACAGCATATATAGGTCCAGTCCACATCTGCACTTAACTTGCCTATTAATGCCTATTAACATTCTTAAATCAGGGATGGAATTATTTACAGTATTTATTTATTTATACCCCATCTTTATTGTTTTCATAGGCTAAGGCTGGACTTGAACTCATGGTTTCTTGCTGGTGCCTCAACTGCTAGACCAAACCAGCTCTCTAGTTCCCAATAATTTGCAAGAGCTTCATCACATGACATTTCTGCCCCTCAGAAGAAAGCTTGAAATGGATTTATGGGGGGAAACAGTGATGAGGTCTACCCAGCAACTGCTTGGCCTACAAATTCTTCCAGCTTTTCTTTGGCAGCAGGCAACCTCAGTGTTGCATTTCTGGGCTTTGTCCACCTTGGAAGTCTAAAGGAGCTGGTAGAGATAGGCCGCCATTAGCATGGGGGGGGAGGTCTTTGAGGGATGAACTATGATCCTAGCATAGGAGTCCTGAAGGGCAATGGACCGAATACAGACAGTTCTTGACTAGACGACAACTGAGCCCGAAATTTCCATTGCTAAGTGAGGCAGTTGTTAAGTGAATTTTGCCCCATTTTGCAACCTTTCTTGCCACAGTTGTTAAAGCGAATCACCGCAGTTGTTAAATTAGCAAAAACGGTTGTTCAGTGAATCGGGCTTCCCCATTGACTTTGTTTGCCCGAAGGTCACAAAAAGGAGATCCCATGACCCCGGGACACCGCCAACAGTCATAAATATGAGTCAGTTGCCAAGCGTCTGGATTTTGGTCACGTGATCGTGGGAAATGCTGCAACGGTCGTAAGCATGAAAAAAGGTCGTAAGTCATCTTTTTTAGCGCCTTGTAACTTTGAACGGGCACTAAGTGAACTGTTGGAAGTAGTGGATTACCTGTACTCAGCTTTGGGGGGGGGGGGAATGCGGGTTTTAAATGTAATGAATGAAGCCCCCTCCATGACGCCATCGCCCTCAAGTTCCATGACATTCCAACACCCTCTGCACAGTATCTACGGAACCTTCATCGCCCTTCCATCCTCCTCCTCCTCCTCCTCCTCCTAGGTCTTTCCACCCTCGTACCCTTAGACACCCTCGACAACAAAAGCCCGCCATGTACACCCTTCCATCTCCCAAGGACATGTTCCTCCCACCCGCGACAAACTCTTTTCTCGCACTTACTGCCGAAGGTAGACATCTTGTAATCAAGGAGGAATGGAGCCCGCAGGCTTTCTGGGAAGTGTAGTTTTGTCCCGTTCTTCCTCCCTCTCTCTGATTGGTTGGCAAGCCCTGCATGGAAAGCTGTGGTGGGCTCTGCTTTTCTTTTTAATATTTCATAGTTAAGTATTTATTTCTGTGTGTCAGGGATCATACACCATATTTTTCCCTGGCGATGTACAGTTGTTTTCTAATTCTGCGTATACATAATTAAACGTTCCAATATTTTACGTCCATACCAAGCCGATTGCGAAAAAATCGCTTGCTCTGATATCATTTGCAACTCGAATAGAGAAAAAAGGCTGGTTTGCGGGGCACGGGTGGTTTTTACATGCTTCGCCTCGTTTCCTGGATTGCAAAGTAAAACATTCACATCTATAACATGCAGAGCGTGCTTAAAGTGCTGTTTGCTTTCCCTTTCTCGGTGGAGAAAGAGTATCCGTGTGAACGTGATTTACAAACGGGGAGAATTAACTCGTATGGAATGACGCAGAGAATGCAAATATTTTCTTTTCTGACAATCACTCAGTCTTTGTTATTTTATAAAGTCCTGCAAGCTTGGATTAAAATGATCCCTCCCTTTGGATTTTGTTACGTCAAATCTTCTTCAAGGTAGTTTAACCTACAGTGAAGAAAGCTTTTGTCCAAAATACATATTCCACTTATATACAATTACACCAAAATCACATTCTTACAATATGCTACGTCACGATTTGTTTTAACTTATTATTGCATATTTATTTATTTAGCGTAAGGCAAATACATGTACTTACAGCGGTTCAAATGTTAATGTTCAGTCCACCCAGCCATTCAAGGACAGGGTGATCTATGTTGAAAAAAATCAGACATTGACCTGGTGTAAGCTCTTGATGGACATTCGGACACAATGTGATGGATATTTTGTCAAGGAGCACCACAGTCACACTGAGGGATAGAGTCAAGACCTCACTTAATCAATTAGTCCTGGCAGACACCATGTTGGGTACGGATCCTGTTCAGAGTTGACCTTCAGATCATATGCTGCAGTAAGGTTGATGAACACAGCTGTGTTTTTTAAGCCTCAAACCAGCCTCGCTATGTCCTGTTAGGCTCAGCACCTGATGCCATGTAATTAGAGAGCCAGGAGTTCTACAAAGGTTAGGCTGCCAACTGTCATTAACTGCCAATTCTTCAATGCAGTCTGGCTGCCAATTGTTGCTAGTTGTTTGTTTTACACTTATTATTGCATAACCTATACTTGATTAGATTCAACTAAGATAAGCCTGAACCAAACTTATAATATTTATACATATGTACATAAGGGAAAAATGTGTCTTTAATAATGCTAATATCCCTGGATAGCAAGGACAATTGATCATAATGGTTTGTGGATAAAAATGCAACGTTTATACAATCATTTTCAAACCCTAATACAATATGTATAATTAATATGAATGCATAATTAATTTTTATTTATTTGAGGTCATGTCACACTGTGGGATCTGTTAGACCCAAAACAACCCCACAGAAAAATGACTAACTGCTGTTCTCTTAACCATCCTTTTTTCCTACTGAATCATCAGGGTCTTTCCCTACCCCTGAGTGAAGGACATTTTCAACATTGCTTGATCCTGATCACAAGATCCTGTTTTTGAGAGAGAGAAAAAATCAGTTCCCCTTTGAAGTATGCAGGCCACAGGATAAAAATGTTGTGTTTTGTACAGCTATAGTCTGTGTTGACAGTGACCTCCCTTTATAATTTTTCCTTTACATTTCCATACTGAAATTCTTTTGAAATTCAGAGATAGATAGATAGATGATAGATGATAGATAGATAGATAGATAGATAGATAGATAGATAGATAGATAGTACCTGATGATTCCTGACTCTTGATGAATGTATCTTTTTTTTATGTACAGTGAAAGCATTTGCACCAAGACAAATTCCTTGTGTGTCCAATGACACTTGGCCAATAAAGAATTCTATTCTATCAATAGATGGTGGCAAAGACTGAAAGGAGTCTTTATTTTGGTGGAGTCATCTGGTGGCTTGTCTAGTTTTTTGCAGCATATATCTGTTTTACGAAAAGAGACGTCTTTAGTGAACCTCACCTGTGATCATCTCTTATTTTTTGAGGGGGGAAAAATAGACCAAGCTGAAGTGCCAGATAATGCCTTCTAAGTATGTAACTAAACTTTGGACAATTCACTAGATTTAACTGGATTTCTACTGCTGGCTCTAAATCATAGTTTGAATAACTGGCATTTAGGCTGTTGAGAGTCGAATGGCATAGAAGTTTAAAGAATTATCTGTTCACAATAAAGGGGGGTCATGACTATCAGTTCTTTTGCTGGTATTGTCCTTGTACACATTGAATTCTTTTGATGCTATAAGGTATCAGCCTACACTTGTGTAGATCCAAGAAGTGTGGCCTTTTACAATTATACAGAAATTTTGTCAATGTGCAGATTTTCTAAGTGCCACCCAACATTTTTTTGGTATAGCATCCTATATGCCGATAACCATTGAGACCATCACAGCCAGTAATCTTTGAACTTTGGTTTACAGGTCTTGATAATTTATGTTCATCTCCAGTTCTTTGCTTCTATTCTACTATCTCCTACTATCAATTATCTACACGTTCTTCTTTAAATCTGTTGTGTTTTGTGCCAAGAATTACTGGTTAGGTTTGTATTCAGAAATTCCACAATATTTTAACACACTCATTTTTTTTATTTTTCAACTCTATGTTCATACTAATTTTTCATTACTGGCACAGGATAACTTTTACAGATGTTCCAGTGAATCATTTTGGCAACTGTGCTTTATAATCTGCTAAGTGATCTTTTTTGCATAACTACTTTTTTGCCTCTTTGCATGATCTGCATTTTGAATCATTTGTCAATTTTTCATTATTCTTATTATAGGGCAAAGCACAACAACAAATTGCAGTGTAAATAGCTGAATTATAAACTCTGGTTTGCATACCACAATAGATGACTTCACACAACACAATGGCTATGCTTACACAACATAATAATTCAAAATGTGATTTGCTCAATTATTTTATTTTATTATTTGTATCCTGCCTTTATTATTTTTGCAAATAACTCAAGGTAGTGAACATATCTAATATTTCTTCCTCCTCCTATTTTCCCCACAACAACCCTGTGAGGTGGATTGGGCTGAGAGAGAGTGACTGGCCTAAAGTTACCCAGTTGTCTTTCATGGCTAAGGCAGGATTTGAACTCGTGGTCTCTCGATTTCTAGCCTGGTGCTTAACACTAGGCCAAACTGGCTCTCAGTTTGCAAATAAGGTTGTTTTGTGAATCAAGCAGACTTTGCAAAACACAAGTCCAAATGTGATTTACTTTACTGTATTTGTTTATGGCAAGTCTGAATATGAGGCACTATGGTTTAACCAATGGTTATAGTGTAAAGTAGTGTATGAACCAAATCAGGTAAGGATAATTTAGTCATCCAAAGTAAACCATGACTTAGTATGCAGTATAAATGTAGCCATTATCAAGATACCACTTTTTGCCAGATTTTTCTGCTTACCTTAAAATAAAGCAGCTCAGATCAGAATTCCTTTTTTCTTTCGTTAGTTAAAAAACATTTTTTCCTCTTGTACTTCCCTTCCTAACCATCATGACTGATGATCTATCACTGTTTCCTGGGAAGGAATAATCACATTTCTCAGAGCTTTGAGCCTTTTTCTTCCTCATTTACAGACTGCATCTCTCTAAAGATGCCCGTTACTCTCCCTTTCCTGCTCCTTACAATCTGTGAGTATTGGTGGGAAGGATCCTTGAGACTCTATAACCCTTCATCCTAGGAATGGTTCTTCTAGGGGTGGAGCCAGACTTACTATTGAGGGATGAAGGGGCTGCTGGCCAGAGTAAGATGATTTGGGGTGTTATGAAAAGGCAGAGCATAAATAACTATTCATTCGTTTATATTGCAGCTTTTTAACTGGTGAAAAGTAAAGAGGCTTTCTTGCTTGCCTTTTGACTCCTGGCAATTGTCTAGATAAGTCCCTGCAGTTTTTCTGGCAAGACCATTGCCTCTTTCCTAGGGTTAGGGTTAGGGTTGTGGTTATAGCTGGCTTTTGTCCTAGATAGAACTAGAATTCACAGACTCCTTATTTCTAGCCTGGTGCCTTCACCACTACATCAAAGTGGCTCTTAGCGTTTTCTATTGGGCACAATAACTTGTGGGGAAGGGAGGGACTTGTTATTCCATCTGAAGCAGGATTATATGTGAATTGAGCCCCTGGGATTGGGGTGATGCATGAATCCAATCAATTTCAGCAGATTCTGCAAACTACAATAAAACAAACAATGGTCTAGCATGACACTGAACCAGGGTTTTGTATGCCTGTCAGCCTTCCCCAGTCCAACACCTTCTGGTTGTGCTGGAACTGAAATGTTTGGAGCTCTAGAAGTTACAACCCAACTTTTCTGAGTTTATCAGGCTAGCCACCTCAGATGTAAGACAAAAAGCTATTTCTGAACTTCTTGGATGACACTTCTGTCCACAGTATTGCAGAGAGAATACTTGATCTAGATTTAGCATCATGTTCTCCCTGTCTATATTCACACAACTTGCTGACCCATCAAAAAGAGGTAATGAGGATATGCCCACAGCCATTTTAATATCTCTTCCTCTTTCAGGACTCATTAACCAGAGGCAGACATTTAACCCAGGTGAAACAGGCAATCCGAATGCAGAGTAGCTATTATTGTTAGAGCTGCCAGTTCAGGTATGCAAAAATCTAAATGACCACTAGAAGACAACAAAAAAGTGTTTGTTAATCTGCTGGTGTCATCTGGTAGTTGTGTTAACTTTTGCAGGCCAGACTGATAGCTGTAACAGTTGGTTTTTGAAGAATCTATGGAGTTTTGGATTCAAATTCTGGTTTTGGTGAAGTTCAACAGTGATTGATCTAGATTTGGACAGGACACCAAATAAAATGGTGGTGCATTCATCTTTATTCCCTCTTACCTATGGGTTGGTTTTTTGTACAAATGTAAACTCTGTTTGGCTAGCATTATTCATCATCTTACAGTTTGGTTTATCTAATCATGGTTGACTGAGTAACCTTCAGTTGGAATGATTTACACAGCATGCACTAAACCAAAAC